TCGTGGGCCTCTTCGCATCTGAAGAAGGCTGAACCTGGTTCTCTTAGTAAAATTTCGTTAAAGACCGTGAGTCAGACAGATGATAGCTCTGTTGCTATGTTGTGGAGTGTTGTCTTTTGTTGTTGAGGCGGCCGGGAAATGATGTGGGAAAAGCAAGGAAAGTAACAAATTGTTGGTGTCCAAGTTGACTGAAAAGACTGTGAAGAGACTCCAACATATGACGAGGCCTTATATCAACGATAGGCGGTGTTGGATAGTAAAGATATAGGAAATGAAGTCAAGCCACGAGTCAGACCTCTCATCTAAACTCGCTTGGTGAACATGGGGCCGCCCCTCCATTAGGATGACGATGGATCGTTCGGTGCAGTTGAACCCAATACTAGGGCCCTTTAATCTCATAGCCGCCTAGCAAAGAGCAAAAGTGCAGCAGCAAGCGATATTTCGACGGATATAGGCAGAGGTTGAGGTTTGGAAGTCGCTCGCCAGCCCGCTTAGGCCCCCGGTACTGCCCCACATCCCGGCGGCCCTCCAGTGGAGAGACTGCCCTTTGCGCCTGCTTCTGCGCTGTTAATGCAGCGATGCGGCTAAAAGGCGGGCAGATATCCATGCGCGGAGGTTGGAGAGACGCGTACAATAGCGGACAACGGACGGCCAGAGAAGGAAAAGACAGCGCGGAGTGTGTGGTAGAGATGCAGCAGATGGTGTTGCAGGGAAATTGACGAATGTGATGCGTCACAGGAACCCGGCCGGCCATGTGGGAACAGGGATGTAGGATAAGGACAGGATGAACGAGCAACCAAGCGAAATGAACTGCTCACCTTCTGCCCTGTCACTCCCGCCCGCCTGTTCCTGAGCGTGTGCGGGATATTATTCCGCCGTTGACTTGTGGCGTGTCACGATGACGCTGCACTCCTTCGCTGTGCGAGTCGTGCCTGGCGTGACTTGACAAGGTGATGCCAGCAGCGGCTGTGCCTCTATCTCACTGTTGCAGCGTCGATATCGGCTGGGCAGGGGCTTCTTTAGGGCCTCTAGAAGGCGCCGGCTTTGTCAGAGTCCTGGGACGTTCTATGCTGCTGTAGTATATCAGCCATGCTTTGCCCACACAGCCAGACGTGTCTTCTCTCATCCAACACCCATTGCTGGTTTGCATTGACGACAGAACCGCCAATGGGGCGCCATTTTTCCAGGACCACACCCTCTGCAATCAATGGAGCACTTCCGACGTACCTCTCCTTGGCTGCCGTGTTCAACGTCAAGCACTATCCTATGCACACGGCTGGAGGCAAGCCTGAAAGCGGCTTCGGGACGTCGTGGACCGTCGTCGATGGCGGAGGAGATGAAGATTGTCTCACTTGATGAAGGAGTCTGGAGCCAATGCCTTGGAGTGCTGGGCAGCAGTCTGCTTCCTGTAGTCAATCGACCAGCTCAGAGACGGTGAGTATGCCGTCTTATACAGACTCCTCGGACTGCCAGTATTTAGAAGACTTTTACCTGTTGCAGTGGGCTGCAGGTCTCTCGTGGCTTGCCGCCCTGCGCTATTGGTCTGAGCTGAGTGTCGCCCAGTTCCAAAACGCGTCCGCCTGCTTCCATCTTTTCTAGCATGGTGATTGACGCCGCCCCTGTGCGTGTTGCGCATCGGCTTAGCGTTGCCGCCAGCATCATGTCGCCCATGGAGCTCTGGAGTATGGCGTTCTTGATGTGCATCTCCCAGCCAGTAGCGCCGGTCCGCCCTACGGCTAGCATCGCACGATTGCCGATCCGAGGCACGACCACGGACCAACGTCATGGTATAGCTGCGTGGCCTCTGCCAGACCACCAATTACCGGCCCATTGCCCTGGCATAAGCCTGCGTGACACGCGCCGCTGTACTTTGCGGCATCGCCATCAGCTTGGCGAAAAAAGACAAGTTCTTACCCCAGGCCTCAGCAAGGACGTTGTCCGTGCGCGACTGCTCTTTTGGCAGCCACCTCGATCTACCATGAACGTCACTCCCGCAAACCCTTCCGAAGAACTCGATGCAACTCTCGGTGCAATCACTAACGTGCTCCGAAGTTCTCCGCGGGTCAATGCGTGCCAGGATAGCAATACTCGGAAGCTGATCCTCGTATTACGGACGGCTACGTGCAGTTCTCACATGGCATCTTAGACATCTGTCAGCTTCATCGAGAGCTGTTTACCCAGCTTTACCGGATCGTGTAACACGCCCTACCTCGATTTTGCCGTCCGCCCGGTCTGTCTTCCGAACGTTGTTACGCAAACCGGTTCTGCAGGGTTCCAAAAGGAATTTGCCGCACCCCCATCATGTGTTGCCTTGTGTACAAGATCTGCTCACACGAGATTTTCATCACGGCCGATATTTGGCTTCGAGTCAATACTATATTTGTCACTCGTATATTCTTGAGCTCTGGATTATCGAGAACTTCGAGACGTCTTACTTCTTAAGACCCTGGTCTGTGGTCTAGCATTCCCTCCAGGCTTTGAGGTTTTCCAGCACGACCGGTCGTTTGACAGGGCGCCCCTGTCCCTTGCCTCGTCCCGCCTCCTAGTGGCCGCATTCGATTTGCGCAACATGCGCGAGAGCTTGGGAAGGAAGGACGGCAAGGACTGCTCGCTTTAGCGCCGTTTGTGGTCCACTAGAGACTTGATTTGTCGAACAGTGGAGGCTGAAAATGATGTGGTGCTTTCGCGGAAGCGGATTACAGCGACCGGAACCACATGACTGGACAAGATCTTTTTTATCACGAGATCCGACAATCTGGGACCTACTCGTCAACCTGACCGCTAGATGCAAAACCTCGCCGAAGTTTTGTCCAGGTCCCACTTCATCAACCCTCTTTCAGACGCTTGCGCTTCCATTACTCCATTTCGCTATTGCAAAGCTACACGTCCATAACAGCCACTTATCGATTACCTTGTTGACCAATCGATCGCTGTGTCTGCGTCATGCATAAAGCTCAATGCATGGTCCTTCTCTCACGACTGACGTTCATGGCTATCGAGTGCCTCATCAGCAATTCGTTCTCGAATCTACCTCATCAGAAGCGATACTCACGATGTACTTCTCATATCTGTTATCGACTCCGTCGACCCCGACACATGCGTGATCAAACCATAGCCATGTCAAATAATCGCATGGCGTGCCGCTCCTTTCCCGAGGAAAAGTAAACATGGAACTTCCACATCGGGATGTTCGTCTCAGATGACTTCCAGATTACACGATTCCATCTGCATCAGATCTGTCTGCAAACCCAGGCATTCCGTTGACCACACGGTTGGGAGCGCCCCGAAGCCACTTTAGAGTCGACTGGATCCCCATGCGAGTATGTCTCAAAACATTGTGAGGTGCGGAGATTAAATTCCTGTACGACGTTTCGCACATCGCCGCTCTTCCAGGGACACTGCGACCCTGCGCATGCAAGAATAGATTCTGGATTCGAGATCGTACAGGTTCATGGAATTTCTAGTGCCTTCAGAATCTGCCACCGGCTTTTTACATGTGCAATGAGCAGAGATTGCGAACCACACCCACACAGCAGCCGATTCCATTATTACACTGTCCGCGGACGCGACCCTAGTAGCCAGTTCCTTTGAATCTACCCAAACAGCTACACGGGTTCAGGCGCTAGCATGAGCGACGTCAGACCGTGAGAAGACCGCGCCCATATCTTTACGCTGGTGTGTTTCCATACAATCGAAACACATCGCCTCATTCAGTCAAGGCCAAGGCGGGCTCCAGAGAACTCGAATTAAAGGCACTTGAGCCCCGGCCTCATCACTCCATCCGGCATACTACCTACCAGCCCCTGACGGCGCATCATGCGTGCCTGTGGAGGGAATTTCGCATCACTCGAGTGCTCCTGAAACCTGCCGGGGTTGACATCTGCAGGAAGTTTTGACATCAAGTGGTCAGTACGTCCTCAATCTCAGTCGCTTCAGATTGCGCTTCTACCGATCTTGGAGAGAAGCTTTAACAGGTCGCTAATTAGGCAGAGTCTATCTATCAAATCTACTGCAAACATCTGTACGGTCACGCTGGCAAGCACCAAGGCCGTTGATGTTGCAGGTATCGAACAAGGCAACATCTTTGGAGTCGCGACCCATGAGAACGCCTCAGTCGGATACCGCACCCACGACCCCATGCGACTACCCGAACTTCTTCTTTGCATCAAAACGTGTAGAAATATTTATTGAGAGGCGTTTGACGGCTTATGGGTACCACGTGGGACGTGAGATCGCGGTACGCGACACAGGACTCCGACACTACGGGCCCATCGTGCCTACGTCAGTGAAAGTGCCAGTCGTAGCTTGGTGAGACCAAGGGCGCGCGTGCTAGGTACTACAGTACATGACGGAGCTTTCTTATTGATACAGCTACTGCCAAAGGATTTATAGCCCTCTTCTTAGTGCGCATCCAGCGGTCGGGGTCCGCATCGACGGGTGCGCCCACGGGAGCGAATTTTAGAGTCTGTGGTGTTTGATGATACGCCAAGGAGTAGGAGTCGCAATGACTTGCTGTTGAAGTTTGGGAGCGGAAGCGAAGAACTGGTCCGTCCCAATCAACGTGTCCGTTCAACGTTTTAATGCGCTCTTCACGATACTTACAGCTATGTCGTGAGTCGATTATGTTCATGTGTAGAACAGTTAATACAATAGTACGACAAGTACACGGCTGTATAAACATTGCGACGCGCAAGCAATTCTCACGACACTGCAACAAATTTGAGGTGTGAATCGATTTTACAGGGCAGAAAACGGCTCCTTCTCGGGGCCACTGGCTGCTTGCGTCATGCGGCAGTCGCGTGGTTCTGTTTAGGACCTGCCTTTAACCAGCGGATGGCAAGGGCCGCCCCTTCACCTCGCCTTTCACGTACCTGCCAGAACATGAGGTGAAAGCTCTCGGTGTAAGTGGCGTAGGCTATCGCAAACTTTCCTTTTGTTTGTTCTTTTGGCACTTACCTACGTCACTGCTACAACCTACCACACGATAGACCTCCATCAACATGTTCCAGCGGTGCGCGCGATTCATTGGCTTTCGCAATGTCATCGCCTTTACGGCTGGCTTGGGCGTCCTGCTTCTATGTAATAGCATCTTACTGCTCTGGCAATTCCGCTCGCCTTCACAACCCGCACATCACGACAAGCTGATTCAGCATGGACCAAGCACGCAGGAAATGCATCCCATCGATGAGCTCATGGTTGACGCGCAACGCAAATTTGGAGAGCTCATCTCAGAACGGACATACGATCTAAATTCGGCAGCCGAAGCATATCGACAAAGGCGCGGGCGCAATCCACCACCTCACTTTGACGCTTGGTTTGAGTATGCGCAAAAACACGATGCGGTCATCGTGGAAGGACTGTTCGATCAGATCTACCGTGATTTGAGACCTTTCTGGGGTGTGCCTGCAAAGAGTATGCGCGGCTTTGCACAACACTATGAACATCGCATCTCAGTAAGAAACGGTACCGCCACCAGGACGGAAGGCCAGGGTCCAGGCACGCCGACGGACCGTATGTTCGCGTGGTGGGACATGGTCAGGCGCATGGAAGGCATGCTACCTGATCTCGATATCGCCGTCAATCTTATGGATGAGAGTCGAGTCATCGTACCGTGGGAGGAGATGAGCAATTACACCGAGATTGAGACCCTGACGAGGAAAATACTGCCGGGTGACGAGACCATCTTTGAGTACGGCAGCTTCCAAGCCTTGGATGAGACGTCCGGAGAGCCGCCTCAGGTGAACTGGATGGGACCGGGCGAGCCATATTGGGAGTTGGCGCGGAAAGCATGTCCACCCGATTCACCTGGCCGGAACAAAGTCGCCGCCACGAACCTTGCTGGACCTCTTCCTTTTCCTCGGGGCTATCCAGAGCACTCGTATAAAGGCTACGTGCAGAACTGGGACTTGGTGAGAGATGCTTGCCAACAAAAGCATCTACAAGAGTCCCATGGAACATTCATCGAACCGGTTTCGATATCAACGACTCACGCTCTAGTGCCCATCTTCGGTGAAACGAAGTTGCAGCAAAATTCGGATATCCTCATTCCTCCCGCTGCCTATCTCTCTGAGGCGTTTGCAGGCGGTGACTACTCAGGCACGAATCGCGATGGCAAGAATTGGTCGGAGAAAACAGCAGGCGCTGTATGGCGGGGTGTCGCCAGTGGAGGTCGTAACAAGGCAGAGAACTGGACGCGCTTCCATCGGCACCGCTTCGTTTCCATGTTAAATGGGACATATGTGCACAACCTTGAGATGGACTCAAAGGCAGCGGAAGGAGGCCAAACATACAGCCCGCAGTCATACACCACGTATCATCTAGAAGCGACAAGACACATGAACATGGGTACTTGGCTCGACCGGATTGCGAATGTCGGCTTCACGGACCTTTTGTGCTTCCCACAGTCTGGCAAGCGGACTTGCGACTACAACGAGCCGTGGTTCGGGACTGTAGAGAAGATCCCCATGTCCAAACAGTTCAACTACAAGCTCCTCCCTGATATCGATGGCAACTCCTTCTCTGGGCGTTATCTCTCTTTCCTACGTTCGACGTCCGTTCCCATAAAGGCGACGATCTACTCCGAATGGCACGACGACCGACTAATACCATGGCTGCACTTTGTGCCAATGGACAACTCGTTTGTCGACATGCACGCTATCTTGGACTATTTCCTAGGCACTGGAGACGACCATGTGGCGATGCTGTATGGTGCCCACGACAAAGCAGCGGAGAAGATCGCATTCAGCGGCCAGGAGTGGGCTTCTCAGGTCTTACGCACCGAGGATATGGATCTTTACACTCTGCGGTTATTGCTCGAATACGCCAGGCTTTGCGACGATAACCGAGAGCAGCTGGGCTTCGCTGGACACGTAACCAAAGGCAGCTCAGGAGACAAAGCATGAGAGCGCAACAAGAGACGTAAGCCTGTCGTTGCGTGAGAGTACACATGACATGTGAGCCCGACTCGTCCTTCTGCATTGACGGGCCTGCATCTGACTCGACCTGTATACGAGCCATGCATGGCGCATGTAGTACCTGGCTGGCCGCGGCGACGCGCAGGAACATCAGCACGCATATGTGCCGCCCTGTAGGTTATGCGCATGTCAGAATCTGGAGGCACAAGATCCGAATCGTGCGAGGCGTGCGTATACGAGCCTCATGTCGACGCCGTGGCACCTTTGTTGCGCGAAATCGGCGATGGCACAGATTGGTCTGGACTTTCGAGGCACTTAGGTTTTCTAATTAGAGCTTTTTCTTGGATGAGGTGACTCGAGGTGATGCTATGTGATGGTGAGGGATGAGTATGGTGGCTGCGACGATGGCAGGCTGGGGGCTCAGGCCGTGTTCAGCCTCACGTCGGAGCCCCTCCTAAATTTTATACTAGCGCGATTGCTCGCATCTCTCGCGAACCATTGACGCATCGCAGCTACCCCACATCTGGCATGCAGCAAAGCCTGGCAAATATTTGTCGCGCCAGACTTTTTCCCTCTAGCAACGCTTGTCTGACGAGGCCGCTGGCGACTCTCTCCCTTCCTTTGACTCAGAGACGCAGCCATAGTCCAGTCATACTGACACAGCCTGCCCTTAAGCCCACCACCCCGCGCGCGTCCTCCCTCCACACACTCTCCTCCCCGCTGCGACCGCACACACGTCCGCGACATTATACACACAACCAGCCCATCTCACACGGGCACAACAGTCCCAGAGTCGCAGCTGCCTCGACACTACTGCGAGACTACTTCCAGTTCGACGCTACTTCCCTCAATCCCCTCCGAAACCTCGACGCGTCGGCGCGCCCACCAGTCAGCATGGAGGACCTCACCAACACACTCGCCACGCTCGGCCTCGACAAGGTCCCGCAACAGCCCAACACATACCCCGCCCTCAACCCCTTCGACATCTACCGGAGCCACATCACCGAGCTGCTCTCGTCCGTGTCAGGCGTAGACAAGCAAATAATATACCCCACACTAGCATGGACGGCCAAGCCAGAGCATGGAGACTTGCAGCTGGCCGTGCCTGCCCTCCGCCAGAAGAAGAAGGACATGAAGGCCTTCGCACAGGAGTTGGCAGATGCCTTCCCCGAGTCGCCGCTGGTTAAGAAGCCAATTGTCACAAACACATCCATTGGCTTCTTCTTCAAGCCAGAGACGCTCACTTCGCTCGTCCTGCCCATGGTCCTGAAGTCGAAGGAGGCATATGGTTTCAACAAGAATCTCGGTCTCAAGAACCCGCTCGACCCCTCCTCCGGCGCGAAGAAGATGATCGTCGAATTCAGTTCACCCAACATCGCGAAGCCCTTCCACGCCGGCCACTTGCGAAGCACAATCATTGGTGGTTTCCTCGCGAATCTATACGAGGGCGCTGGCTGGGACGTCGTTCGCATGAACTACCTCGGAGACTGGGGAAAGCAATACGGTGTGTTGGCTATTGGTTTCGATCTCTACGGTAACGAGGAGGAACTCGTCAAGAACCCCATTGGACACTTATACGACATCTACGTCAGGGTTAGCAACGTACAACATGAAGAGGCGGAGAAAGTGAAGGCTCTCAAGGCCGAAGCTGCGAAGCTTAAGGAAGAGGGCAAGGATGCGTCGGAGCAGGAGGCCGAGGTCAAGAAGATCGAAGCTGAGGGTATCGACGAGCAGGCTAGGAAGTACTTCAAGGGCATGGTAGACGGCGAGCCCAAGGCGCTCGGCATCTGGAAGCGCTTCAGGGTGAGTAGACCGATCACAAAGGGTAGAGTATCAATACTGACCTGCGCAGGACCTGTCCATCGAGAAGTACAAGCAGACATACGCCCGACTAAACATCCACTACGACGACTACAGCGGAGAGTCCCAAGTCAAGGACGAGAGCATGGACCTTGCTGCGAAGATCATGTGGGAGAAGAAGGTCTGCGAGGACTCAGAGGGCGCTGTCATTGTCGACCTTACAAAGCACTCTAAGAAGCTGGGCAAGGCTGTCGTGAAGAAGAAGGACGGTACTTCGCTGTACCTGACCCGAGACATTGGCGCTGCGATCGAGCGTGTTGAAAAGTACCACTTTGAGTATGCCAGCCCAGTCCTACACTTCCTGACACTTTGCTAACTGGGTCACAGCCGCATGATCTACGTCGTCGCATCACAACAAGACCTGCACTTGGCCCAGCTCTTCAAGATCGAAGAGCTCATGGGCAGGAAAGACATCTCAGACAAGTGCCAACACATCAACTTCGGCATGGTTCTCGGTATGACCTCTATTCCATCAATAATCTTCCATTCCATTACTAACAACTCACAGGTATGTCGACCCGAAAAGGCACAGCCAAGTTCCTCGACGACATCCTCCGCGACGTCGGCGACAAGATGCACGAAGTAATGAAAACAAACGAGACAAAATACGCCCAAGTCAAAGACCCCGAGCAGACCGCCGACACACTAGGTATCTCTGCCGTCATGGTGCAAGACATGAAGGGCAAGCGCATCAACAACTACACCTTCGACATGGATCGCATGTGCTCCTTCGAAGGCGACACAGGCCCATACCTGCAATACGCACACGCCCGTCTCTGCTCCATATACCGCAAAGCCTGCGACGCGGACCCCAGTCTCGCCGAACTCGATCTCACATCCGCTGACTTGAGCTTGCTGAAGGAAGACAAGGCTGTTGAGCTGGTCCGCCAGTTGGCGTCGTGGCCAGATACTTTCCTCAACACGCTCAAGACACAGGAACCCACTACTGTGCTTACGTACTTGTTTAAGATGGCACATGCGCTCAGCAGTAGTTACGACCACTTGCAGGTTGTTGGCTCGGAGAAGAACGTTATGATTGCTAGGTTGGCGCTTTATGTTGCTGCTAGGCAGGTCTTGTACAATGGTATGAGGGTGCTTGGACTCAGCCCTGTCGAGAGGATGTAGAAGGCTGCATAATAAAGATGTATCGATTGCATGGATATGAGAAATGAGGAATGAAAATATATTCAAATCACGACTCTGCGCAAAACAGCATCGCGAAGCATAGTGATGCAGCGCAGTTCAAAGAGCACAGCGAGATCGGATGGAAGTTTGATCGATTGCTTGTTGTTACATAAAATGGATTTTCTAGCTAGTAATTACCAACTTGTATACTATGTAACATGACGATATATTGACAGTCTGCCGACCAAGAGTGTGAGACAACAGACTGGACCAGCTGCCCAACTTGGAACGCCATCCGGTATCTTGTAATGTTCCCTCCATACACTGCCGGCGGGATATGTACAATACAATACAGTCCGTCTCAGTGCTGGAGTTGAGAGGTTATCTATTTGAGTGGAGTTTATGTATGGTTATATGTTCATGATATGTCGTGAAGGTGAGGGGGTCCGGGGCGAGTCGTGATCGGGTGGTGTCAAATTGGAAACAACCAACGATTCAATGACTCCGGGAAAGTGCTGGGAAACAATGCTGGAAGACGACGCTATAACGCTGCAAACAAAACGAAACAGTGTGCCTCACGAGAGGGTTGCTGAGTATGCTCGGTAAGGCGTCAGGCCACGGGCGGGGGAAAACGTGGTTGATCGAATGCGCTAGCCCCCTGTCATCTCGAAGATGCGTTTGACACCGCGTCTAGACACCCGAGCAACAGCTGCAACAACTCCGACCATGAAGGCAGCACGGAAAGACAGTACAAGAAGACTTAATGCAAGAACACAGACGGCCCACCCCGTCTCGTCCGGTTGCTAGATGCCATTGGCAACAGGCGGCCCTCCCACCCGAGGGTCCCCAGGAGGCAAACCTGGGACTTTGTGCGGGTGTGGATGCGGAGGATGCGGGTGGTGCTGGCAGCCATGTGGACAAGTAGCTATCGGTTCGTCGTAATCGTCGTCGTAGTACTCGTCCTGTGGATCCAGCGACCCTTCATCGTCGCGTCGGTCGTAGCCGCCAGGCGGAGGGTTTTGGTTGTGCTGAGCGTTGTTGGCATTGTTCTGTGCCTTCTTGCTCGCCTTCTTGCCCTTTCGTCCCTTCATCCTGGCCTTCTCCAACAGCCGCCGCTTCTCTGCCAGACGTTTGCGCTCCTTCCTGTCCTTGATCTCATACTGCCGAATCAGAGCCATGGGAGGATGGCCAAATATGTCCTCGTATTCGCAAAATTCGCATATCCACGGCTGACTTGGCGGGTTGTGGAAGTTGGCGTACTCTTGCTGAATGCGACGCTTGCGGGCAGCATACTCATACAGCTTTGAGGCACTACGTCGTGGCTTTCGAGGCGGCGGTGCCTGTTGCGGTGGTGGAGGTCCGGTCGGACGTCGTGCAGTCCCATTGGGCAGGGGCGGTGGGGGGTATGCACCTGCTCCGTTCATGTTGGGGCTGGTCTGAGTGCCCTGGGTAGACACCATGGGCGCATCGGGGCGCACGGGGGGCCGTGAGCGGGTGGCTTGGGGGTGGGGTGAAGGAGAGGCAGCGGCATTGGGGTACGCGCCAGGGGGTTGGGGGTACTGGCCGTTTTCCTGGCCCGGCCAGACCATCTTGTTGGCCGAGTCGGAGCCGCAGGTGAAAGTGAATTGGGTCTTGCTGGCAGTATGCTTGGCGGCTTCCTGCTGCAGAAGGCTCACGTTTTCGTTGCCCGGGGGTGGCGGGGTCGCGTTTGCGTTGGCAATGGCAGTGGAGATGATGCCGCTTTGCTCCGGAGGTCCTAGAAAACAAATCGTTAGCGCACGGACTCTTTTAGTAGTAAAGACGTATCAATTCCCGAGGTGACACCGTACGTTTGCTGTTCCCTTTGGCGTTGGCGAGATTGGTCGAACTAGCCAACACGCGCCTTTCTGACCGTCCCGAGCCAGATCGGCCGAAACGCCCTCTGCCTGCGCCTGAGATGCCGGTTCCAGAACTTGTCGCGTGTTGGGGTGTCGAGGGCGCCGAGCCGTAGTAACGCGCGATGC